CCAATCCTGTGGAAGCCCAAGTTCACATGCAGTCACTCATGGAAATTCGAGCAGAGACTCTGCAAGAATATCTGAACGGCTACAAAGGGCACTTTAGTCGCATCGTGGGTTTTCGCCCCAGTGGCTGGAACTACCGACCTCCAAGTAGCAAGCAAATGTCAGCTGATGTCTCGCCAACTAGCATACAAACACAGCAGATCCTTCATGGCAAGGGTTGGAGATCAAGGTTTGGTTATAAAGACTTTGTGGCGCAGCCGGGCAGCACCAAAGAAGCCATGTGTTTTGGAGTTCCTTACTCGGAACACAGCAGCTTTCGAGAACTCTCCATGTTCATAATGAGCTTGAGGATAGAAAAAGTCATCCCTACAGTGAATGTAGGCAATGAGAAGTCCAGAAAGAGAATGAAGGGATGGCTGGACCGATGGGCATCTGAGAGACGGCGGGGTGGTCTTCTCTACCCCTTAATAGAGGGGGAGGATAATCCTGAAGACGAGAAGATATGCTTGTGGGGAGATGAGTCTGGGAAAGGAGGAGGGGCCTGGTGGTAGATTACTCCATACACGAGGAGCGCTCGCAGGAGCATGATGATGGCTGTATACATACACACATATACGTTTGACCGGATTGAATAAGTGTCATTAGTCCATTATTCATTTTAGACTCAACGCCGTTGCCTTGGTTGTCACAAGTCCATTCACATCCCCTGCCCGTGTCCAAGCCGCGAGGCCCAAACAAATACTCACATCCCCATGCTTCAATAACCACTCAACGGGAGCCCAGTTCACCTAGCCTTGGCCTGCTGAGCAGCGGCTTCTGCAGCACAGTCAGCAAAATATACATCACTGCATCACAAAAGGAACAAACTGACCTCTCCGCGTTGCATCCTCCAACAGCTGCGTATCTACCGACCCAGCCGGCAAATGAACATAGCGCACGACCGAGCCTCGGATAAAGACGTTCTTGACCGAGCTCTAACTACCGTCAGTCCAGTGCCAGGCTAGCATTTGGCAGACGAGGGCAAAGCTGCACGCATGGCCACATGCACGGGGCGTGGGGGACAAAATACGCACCAGATGAGGGTACTTCAGCTCCTCCACGACAGAAATGTCATCCAGCTTAATGTTGAGGTACTGGTCTACGCTCTTGAGCGTTCCCTTGAGCTGGATGTCGTTTTTGAGCTCCACCGTGACTTCATGGTCAATGAGGGTTTTGAAGAAACTGCCCCTTGAGGTTAGGACCGCCCTTGAGCTCAAATAAAACATGTCCCAGGTTGGAAGGAGACAGAGTCGAATGAAAGTAGACTTCGACTTGCTGCATGGCAGGCATGCGCCGAGGGGGCAAAGGTGGGATTACCTGAAGAACAGCATGGTTTGGGGTTCAGTGGGATGGAGGTGTTGAGGATGGGCGTAAGTTTCGTGGTGTTTCGGGAGGCGTCGAGGAAGGCTCTAGGCACTCGGATTTGAGTTTTTGCCGAGATTTAAAGGGGACCCGTTGGTGCGCTCTTTTGGTACAATTTTCTGGGACTCGCGATATTTGTTATTCCTTTTTTTTGGTGAGGTTCTTGATATCTTGTTCTGGGACTACGGTGCATCGCGTTGCGAGCTGTTGAGATCCATCCACATCACGTGATTACGTTTGACTTGCTCTGGATTCTGATTTCACCTTTTGGGGGTTGAAAGAACAGATGGTGATCTTTTTTTTGTCTCTTTTTTGCCGGTCATGGAATAAATTTACCCTATTCAAGCAAATCATACACTACTGCCCATGTCTTCCTGTTTTATGCTACATTTACAAAGGCCCGCTTCTTCGCACTCCTCTCTTGGTTCTCATCTTCCCACTTCTCATCAACATAATCCTTGATACTCTTATCGCGGAGTTGCATCCCCACGACCTTGAGTGCAGCAATATTAACTCCCATTTCATCCTTTTGTCTCTTCAGCGCTGCTCGCAGGTTTGTGCGTATCCCATCCATCATAGACTTCATTGTGCGACTAGCTACAATTTGCTTGTGGTGAGTCTTGATTATGAAAAAGAGAATGCGGCACGTCAGGGGGATGTTCATGGACCGCATGGCAAAGATGTTGAGAAATGTTAACAGTATCGGGACGGTGGCAAATGGCAGAACGAGCAGTGCGTCGTGCAAGGCAGATGCCTTGATGCGTTGCAGGACTGACATGACGTGGACTTCGGCGGTGATGCTGCCAAGAGCGAGGAAGACGGGGTTGCGCTGTGGCGGGGGGGCGTGAGGGTTCATGAGTTTTGCTTCCTCATATTCTTTCATAAGGTTCAGGTCGGCCATACCCATTTCTAGGGCTTCTTGTATTCTTTCACCAGCCATCAATGTCTCTGTTGTCTGTTTTGTTGCCGCAGCTACTTCACCATTCTCGCCCTCGGCGTCGGGGTCATTTTCAAGGGAGGTTGTTAATGTGCTTTCGTAGAGCTCCTCCATTTCCTTCTCTCGCTCCTCTTCGAGGAAGATTTGCTCGTCAGTTTCCTCCCAAACCCGGATGCTCTTGTCGTGACTAGCGCTCACGAGGAAGTTTCCGGTGTGACTGATGGCAATCGTCCAGATTTCGCTGTGGTGGCCGTCTAGTCTCTGAATCTGCTCAAACTTGTCCCCGTCCCAGTATCGAATGGTCCTGTCTTTGCTACTACTGAAGAAGTGGTGGCCATTACCGTCGGAATTGTGTGGGACAAAGGCGACTTGCAGAATACTGTCCTGGTGACCAAACAATGCTTTGTGACAATCACCGAAATCCAGCCCCCATATTCTTATGTTCTTATCCGCTGAACTCGTAACAATAAGCTTGCTGTCGTAAGAGATGTCCATACTCAGGACGGGAAGCTTGTGACCATAGAGGTTGAGGTATAGCTTTAGCGAATCTACAAAAAAAACTTTGACCGTGTTGTCTAGCAAGGCCATCGCAAGCAGCTTGGCATCGGGAGAAAATTTGAGACTCAGAATATCATCAGACACTTTGAGAGTGCGTGACTGAACAAGTTTCAGCTTGGGTGTTGTCCTCTTCGTGCCAAGAATCTCCTCTTGGACAATCTTGAACTCCCAGAACTTCGCCGTCTTATCGGCACTGCCAGAAACAACGGATCGTCCATCGGGATGGACGCTAAGGCTCCAAATGGCACCCTCGTGTGCCTGCACGGCATCGATCAGTGATGCTGATGCAACATCGAATAATTGCAGTTCACCACTCTTCGTGCCGACGACCACCACTTTGTCACCCGGCAAGAACGCGCAGCAAAGAGCGTAGCCACACTCAAATGTACGAATACACGCTTGAGTCTTGATATTCCAAATCTTCATCGAACCGTTGGCTGCCGAGGCAAGCATTTTATCATCCGAGCTCAGGGACAATGCTCTGATGTCAGCTCGATGTCCCGGCAGTTCTACAGCCAAGCCGCGAGTATAGTCAGGGATGTCATCTTTCTTCTTGCGCTCAATCCTCTCCTTGTGAGGGATGCTATAGTACTCCAGTTGGTTGTTTGTTGTGCTCACCAGCAGTTGTAAGTCCTTCTGGTTGCTGGATGTTGCCCAATCAACTGAGCGGACCTTGCCCCCAGTTCTGACAATAACATACTGAACAAAGACATCCCCAACGTTCGCTTTCGAAACATCCTCATTGGCTTCATCGCCGTTTCCCGCATCATGTTCTTCGGCCTTGCTGTCCTTCTGCTTTTGTCTGCGTCGCTGTCGCTTTCGTGCTAGACTCTTTTTGATTTCCGCTTCGGATTTGATTCTCCACACATCAACACTCTTCTCGGAGCCATGGACGGCAAAGTAGTCTCGCTGTGGGTGGAAAATAATCTCGATTGCTCGATCTTTGCTTTGCCTGTGAAGTATTCCACGGTCATGAAGGTAATGGGCGGCCGCAGAAATATCGACCTGTCGGGTGCTGGCGGCTAAACCTTCGGTATCAATGGACCAGACTTTCATCTCGCCGTCATTTCCTGCGGTGATGCATCCGCTTACATCAGGAGAAACACCCAAGGCCCAGCATTCGCCATTCGTTTGAGAGATATGTGTTTCGATGCAGTGTCTTGATGAGAGGTCCCAAAGTTTAAGCAAAGAATCCTTGCCAGTCGTGAGTAGGAAGCCATCCGACGAGGTTTCATCATTCAAGAGCATTGCGCGTGATCCGTCATCATTCTCAACTTGCAACTTGGGCTCGATGAACTGGAGCCCAGTGACCTGATCCTTGTGTCCGCGTAGTTTAAATTGGCCGACTTCAGCGACCAGATCCCAAATAATAACATCGGTATCCTTGGAGCCACTGGCAAGTCGTACGCCAGAATTATCGAATGCTAGCTTCGTAACAGCGGACTTATGACCGTTGAAATTAACAATAACCGTCGAAATTTTACTGTCCCAGAGTCGGATACTACCATCATCGTATCCGATGGCGTAGACGTCTTTGTCTGCCTTGCTCTGCGCGATTGCAGTCACAGAAGCTGTACACCGTTCGTCCCTCCATCTACTGATAAGCTCTCCCTTTTTTATATCCCAGCAGAGAACTTCTTCATTCGCGGCGACGACAGCTTGTCCGGCGCCACCACTGGTCCGGTCTTTGGCAGCCCAGAGAATGTTTGAGGTGTTGGTCGTAATCACACCAAACGACTTGGCGTGTTCGTACTTTCTAATAAAAAAGGGTCAAATTTCTAGTTATTGATGGAGTGAGGCGTATAACACTGCACTTACAGGTACGATTTCACCATTGTCGCAAAATGGCAAGGTCAATTGGTGCTATCACTGTCGAACTCCAAAATGCCATCCTCACTGAGACCAGCCCTTTGGAGTGGGATATTTTTTTGCTTATCGATAGCGCTGGGTGGGCCGCCTCTTAGAACTATCTTGTCACGTGGCCGCTCACCTCTCGCGACAGCTCGATGGCCATCCCGCACTTGCTCAGCCCCACCATGTGTCGTCAACAGCTCCAGACGCTGGGAGGAGCAGGCAGATCTCGCGAACTGCAAACACATTTGCAACGATGCTTCTCCTTGATTACCAGAATGTACTGATCCAATCGGTTCTTACCGAAAGGTTCTCCGGGTTCGTAAGGGCTTGTGCTGGCTAATTTTTCACAAATAACTAACCATGTGCACCAGAGCCCCTCCTACTTCCATCGACCAGACCGTCTCCGACTTCGATGGCGTTACCTTTCATATCTCGACTCCCGAAACAAAGACTAAAATTCTCCTTTCTATCCAAATAAGATGTTTCCAGGATCTAGTTCAATATGGCGCGGAGCAGGTTCTTCAGCGAGAATATGGTCAATATGTCGCACCAGTGGAGCCTGGTTACGACTTCTCTGTGCTCATTGACCTCGAGAATCTACCTGAGGAGAAAGGTGCGAATCGCAACTATCCCCGAAGAAATTGAGCTATTCGAGAAAGCCCTAACAATCCGCGCTTAGAGGAGCGCGATGCGCTTGCAATGAAATTTGCTCTTCTAAAGCGAAATGCGATGGCAGCTCCTTTTGAGCAAGCTTACCAGGAGCATTACGAGCTGAAAGAACAGGCATCAAAATTCACTTCCGAAGAGGCCCCCCAAGGTGTTCGAGAAGGTGGCCAGGTAAAGGCGATCCGCTACCGAGAAGAAGAAGCGATCTACGTGAAGGCTAGCCACGATAGAGTGACCGTCATCTTCAGCACGGTCTTTCGAGAGGAAACAGACAGGGTATTTGGCAAGGTGTTCATTCAGGAATTTGTCGATGCTCGAAGGAGGGCTATTCAGAATGCTCCGCAAGTCTTGTTCCGAAATGATCCGCCTCTGGAACTGCAGGGAGTTCCTGGTGTACAGAACACTGGCACCGGAGAGATTGGCTATGTCACATTTGGTACGTGGACACTGTCTCCTTTGCTCACAATACGACGCTGACAGGCACAGTACTTTTCCCAAGACACTTGACCCCCCAAAGGATGCCAATTGTCATTTCGCACATCCAGACTTTCCGAGATTATTTCCACTATCACATCAAAGCATCCAAGGCCTATATTCACTCACGTATGCGAAAGCGAACGGCAGACTTCCTTCAAGGTTTGTATTCCCAAATTGCACTCGCTGGAACCAATACTTACTTTTCCTACAGTGCTGCGTCGTGCACGCCCCGACAGCGAGGAAAAAGAGAGGAAGACTGCAAGTGGACGATCATTCAAGGTCCAAGGAAGCTAAGGAGAGACGCTTGTGGAAGCATATTACGCGTGTTGATGGCTGGCGCAGTAGACAGCATCTGTCAAGTGTAGAGAACAGCACCTGTAGACGAAGTTCAATGAAAACGAGCCACCCAAAGACTGCCTTTTAGTGCTTTGGTAATAAATAGCATGCGAGTATCATCTAGTTGCCTACCAGATAGGTGTTTACTTGCTGTTGTTACTGAGTGACAAACTCACGTTGTAAGCCAGCTTGTAGACCTGAGTATCTTGGCCTCCGGTGCCAATGCACCAGACAGAACACAGTTGAGGTAAACTGGTAACTAGAGGTAACTAACGTAGTAGTGGGTGGAGTGGGGTGTTCGTCCCTGTAACATTGATAGCCTCAGGCAGCCGGACAGCTAGCTGCCACACCTAAGTAAAAGTAATCACAGCCAAACGACTTCAATCCACGTCTCAACGCTCTCTACCCGCTAAGCATCGTGGACAAGCACATGGCCAGTCGGCCTCCGGGTCGAAATTCAGGATGGTGTGGCCGTTTGGATCGCGAATCTCGACATCAGAAGACTCCAAGGACGAAGCTGAATCGACAAAACGCCCGGTGTCATGGTCTGAATCTCTAGGACGAGCCGAGGCTGATCCCTTGGGTGCGGCAAAAGAATGGGCGCCAGTAGTAGCGTTCTCTCTTGTTGGACTGGGCGCCTTGCAACTCTACGCAAATTATCTTCGTCGGATTCCGGGTGCAGCCTTTATTCGCCCATCTTTTTTCCGAACCCGAAGCCTGTTTGGCAGGGTCACGGGTGTTGGTGATGGCGATGGTTTCCATCTCTTTCACACACCGGGTGGTAAAGCCGTGGGCTGGGGGTGGCTGAGAAAGGTTCCTGAAACCAGAAAGGAACTCAAGGACCGAACAGTAGGTCCTTTTGTGGAGTAGAGGCGATCGTCCTGAAAGTCTCAACTAACTTGTGTGTGCAGATATCGGTCCGTATTGCTGGCGTCGATGCCCCGGAAGGAGCGCATTTTGGACGGCCAGCGCAGCCATTTGCCGCCGAAGCGCAGAAGTGGTTATCGGACTATATCCTACACCGGAACGTGCGGGCATATATCTACAAGCGCGACCAGTACAATCGTATTGTTGCGACGGTCTACGTTCGTCGGTTTCTTATACGCAGAAATGTTGGCTTAGAATTGGTTAAACGTGGCCTAGCTACAACATACGAAGCAAAATCGGGTGGCGAATACGGCGGACTGAAGGCTGTATACGAAAGGGCCGAAGCCAAGGCGAAGAGGAAGCGGAAGGGCATGTGGTCTGGAAAAGCGGGCGAATTTGAAAGCCCTAGGGAGTACAAGTCTCGGTATCAAGGGCAGCAAAATCCGAATGAGTAAACCGACAGCGGGCTACAACACTCAAACACCTAATTAATATACGTAGGGTTTTCGGAAGCAATCAAGAAGTGAGTCTGCCATAGAAGCGACTCTGAGGAAAGATTACCACGCCGCCACACTTGGGTTCAACTACTTGGCCAGTATATGAGACGATTGCCGCATATCCTGGGGAATAGCTACTTCCGTTGCTCCGACGGACTACGGCAATTCTTATGCCTGATGTTTGAGCCAACGTCGCAGATTTCCGCGGTGTGACACCACCTTGCGAGCCCGTTTTCTGGACGTACGTCCTCAGATCGCCCTTGAAATGCGGTCATCTAACAGATCTGGTATGTACTACGGAGTAGACAAGAAACAAAGTCCGGGGTATTGTGACGTCTGGTATAGACAAAGCAAGGCGTGGCTGTCACGAAGTCGTTCGGAAACCTGGTCTGAGGCTGTCATGACACAAACCTCATTTTAGTATGTCAACCATGGCATGATAATGTTGTACAGTGATGTAGGCAAAAGTACAACACTAGCGATGGCATGAAGCAAGTGGACGAGGATCAGATACAAGTTCACATCAAGATATACCCACGCACAAGTGTTTACGGAGCCCTTCCTCGAGTAATATTGTACAATACCACCTAGTGCTACTAGTAGGTAATATGTACTTACGAGTAGGAAGCAGGTTGATGTGGCGTGAGGGGCGCAAGATTGCTAAGACAAAAACGGTCAATTGTTGATAGGACCCGTTTCTACCCGTAAAGTTAGTATGTAGTATATCTGGCCAGCGATCATTGTACGTACAAAACATGTGTAGAACATCCGTCGTCACTTTGATACCTCTGGCCTCATCATATCGTTCTAAGCTGATCTACGGAAGGAGAATGTGGGAGAGTGCATGCCTCCGCTCTCCACGGCAAGCGTCAGAAGAGCCCACTTTCGCGCACATCGAGCAAATGGATTGACGACACAGGTCTCAGAGTCCAATGCAGCAGTATTTACTCGGCAGTTAGTTGAGAGTTTACAGGTCAGTTTCCTCTTATGCAACTGGCGAAAGGGTACAGAGCCCTCCGCATGGCAAAAAGTAAACAGAAATCATCTTTGTGAACCCCTCGCGTCTGGAGCATCTCGGCAGGCAAGCCATTCACAGCCCTCGGCTCAATGGTCAGGCACGAGGTTCCATGGCTGGTCGAACGTTGCCCCTGGCCCCACATGGTACTAATGGCTCCCGTATTTCCGGAAGGAATGGACAAAAAGGTACTCATACAACTACAAGACTTGTACTGTAGGCTGTGCGGATATTTTTGTCTACAAGATAGAATGTGGGTCACACCTGCGACAGTCCCCTGATAGGTCCAACTAGTGCGAGTTTGCGAGGTACCTGACGGAGCTCAGGCATTGCAACCCAGGCTGAACTCAACACCAACTTGCAGAGACATGAACATCCGGCCTGCACACATGCGTCAACCGCTCAATTGCATGACGACGAGCCACGAGAAAAAAAAAAGGGATAAGAAGCAACGACAGCGGCCCGAAGAGGAGGCGGAGTCTATGTAAGCCATCAGCGTTGCAGCAGCATCTCTCCCTCCTCATACTTGCCAATGCGCTGCTTACTAACTAAGTACATCTACCTGTACCTACGGAGTAGGTCGATACTCTTTGTCGCCGCCGAAAGAGCTCTGCAGGTTGTACTGGAGTGCTCCGTACAACATTGAAGGCTCTGCCAAGCAGCCCAGCATCTTCAGCCACCGGTTTTCAACTACAGCGGGTGTCACAGAATATCCTTTGGGTTGGGCAGCCGCGCCGTACTACACTCCATTCTCTATTTTGTGACATCTGTACTTTCACTATTTGCGTACTATTCTTGCCGTGCCTGAATTGAGTTTGCATGAGATAGCGGTGACCTGTGTTGGCCTTTGCCTCTCGAGGATTAGAACGCGGTGGCTTTGACCCAACATTTGGAGATGGACGAAAGTCTGCTGCACATGAAGGTACACTACCTACTCAAGTACCTACTTAGGTAGTAAGCATGAACAGCTCGTCCGGCTTGAATTATCTACTCGTGTGTTGTTGCCCTCAGGTGCCATTGCTCGCGCGCATTTTGTGAAATCGAAGCCGCATGACAGCCTGAGACTTGTACAGTTCCAGGTTACTTGCTCGTAGTTGTTTGTGCTGTGCATGTACGTCTGAAGCCTCTGTCAAGGATCCTCCTCGTTGGCGTACTCGGTACAATTGACATCACATCGGTGAGGCAGCACCAGTCCATCCAGCGACGTGTTCCACACAGACCACACAAACTGACTCTGTGCTCTCACAGTGGTGCATTAATGCCTGAACATCTGGACCTTGTTGTGCGACCCTGTCGTTCTGCACTGCCCTGGCCCATTGCTGACGTCTATGGCGCTAGACCTGTTCTGGACTGGTGACCCCTGCAAGCCCGGTGGTCACAACAACCTCTGCAATTTCCCACATTCTTTGTGTCCACCTTGGCTGTCAACCAGCCAGATCCGCCCAGCCATCCTTTGTTCCATCGAGCACAATTCCAACTCCCATCCTATCCACGGCGAGGGGGAAACCACAGCGACAGGCGACAGATTGCTTCTGCCGCTGCCGTCTTGCGCTACCGACCTTATTTCCTTCGCTATTCTTACCGATACTCTCGTTAATTTTCGTCATCTCGATTCTCTTCGTCCCTCCTTGTTTGTGTCGCGCTCGGTGCACCAAGTCGCGTTCCGACCGCTGCGTTGAACGTTTTCCAAATTTAGGAGTCACCGCGAGAAAATTGCCATGCCCGTCTCTGCGTCACAACCATCGACTCAACCATCTTGTCCCTTGCGACTCTAACTTATTCTCGCGCTCATTTTGTTCCCGAATCTCGACCCCGACCGACTTTTCATTCCTTCTCGTCGACTCCATCTCGTTCCCGGCCGTGCAGGCGGGTCAACATCGCCATGCGGTTGCCCTTTCGCCAGCACCGCTCAAGGCGTCCGCCTGCCTCCACGATCTACTCAACTTTTTTCACTCTGGCAGCGTTGGGGCCAATCTTTTCAGAAGCCATTCATTTTAATCCAGCCCCGCCCGCGAATCTCGACTTTTCTAATCTCGGCCGAATAGCAATCGCTGGCGACTTCAATGGCATCTCCCTTTACGAGTACGAGGGCCAAATATCAAAACCCCTTCCCACAAATGGCAGCGAAGCCCTCCTTGCCCGACTTCCCAATGGCGCTTTGGCACCCATTGTGTCTACTGACGCGTCTATTCGAGCAATGTGCCTATTACACAACGACGACGGCAAGTTGAAGGGAGTGGTTATTGGTGGCAACTTCACGAGTATTGACGGGACGCAATCAACAGCAATTGCGCTCTTTAACCCCAACACAACCGAAATTTCGCCTCTGAAGGGTCTGGAGGGTGAAGTTAATGCTCTATATTGCGACGACAGTCGGAAAACTGTCTATATTGGTGGCAATTTCAAGGCGTCAAACTCCACCAATGCAATCGCCTGGACGGACGCAGACGGCTGGTCAAATTTGCCATTCGCGGGCTTCAACGGTCAGGTCAATGCTATTTCCAAGACCTCCAATGGTCACATTGTATTTGGGGGTAGCTTTACCGGTTTAGGAAACACTTCTACCCCGAGCCAACCCG